GTACAGCTGTAACCCACAGGAGAACTGGCTGACAGATTCTTAAGGGACAGCTTTTTGTGCCCATCCCAACAAAAGGGATCCCTGGTGCCCCCTATGTGCCCTTCGCAGCCTTTAACTCTAACTTTACCCTTCTGCCCTGAGAGGCTCCCAGGCACTGGCCCAGCCAGCAGACACCTTAGGACAAAAGTGCAATGTGCTCCATTTCTAATTCTCGATTTCTGGATCCAGGCTTTGTAAACCTTTAGGGCTTTCCTAGAGTGCTCACACCTTCAACCATTTCCTTCAAGTATGTGCTTTTCCCCTCAGTTTTCCAGTTGTAGTCCATGGGAAGTGTCCTTCAGAGTAATTGGCAGTTGCTGGAATCTGACGTACAATTTTATGTGTTAGTGTCATATATCAAGGAGGAAAACCATAGGTACCAATAAATGGCCACTTAAGCAAGTGTAACTTGGAATAAAAACAAAAGGTTCCATATCATCTGCATAGGCCCTAATTAAAATATGTCAACAAATAATGACTCAAATATTGCATATTTAACATAGATGATGATCCTGATAGATAAACATGGGAGTAAAGAAACATTTGAAAACAAAATTGAAAAACACATGCACAGTAAGTGTGGGAAGTTGGGGCAGTGAGTGGCAGTGTGGGGTGGGCTTGTGCCAAGGTGCAGGTGCAGCAGGGGTGGCCTGTGTTACACAAGGCCATGAAGACTGTGTGGCAGTGGGGTGTCGGTGACCTTCTGGAGAGGCCCTTGCATGTTGTAGCTAGAATACCAGAATGACAATTTTGCTAAAAACAGAATTAATCTGATCACAGCAGAGCTCACCAGCCCATCACTGCCCAGTGTAAACCACACAGAGAGCATCTCATGTTGTTTACATGAGACGCAAAAAGAAGAAAAGGTCTTCTTGGAGGCTGTAGTTGAATTTTTATGTCTTTGCCATCTTCAAATTCTTGCCACGCAATCTCTGAAAAAAGGAAGCTGTCTGTTCAGGATGCCCCACAGGACTTCCTCCTGGCTCGCCTCATCTCTGCCAGGATACAGAGCAGTTGGGCTTAAAGGCCTTGCCTCAGCTGTTATAAAGAACACTGCAAATTCCTCAGAATTTGAAGCCAGTACATTCATTCAACATCATCCGAAAAATGCCACAGACTCTGGGTCTCGTCATCACATATGATAGATGAATATAGTAAATTAAATAGTTGTGGGAGACCAACCTTCCACATGACTGAGTCCCACTCCCCAGCTGGGTGCTGAGGTGCTCAGTCACAGAAATGTGGCAGAGCTTTCCCCACCCTTCTTGGGTGCGAGAGTCAGTGTCTCATGCATGGGTGTGTCTTGCTACAGCCCCATGAGTGAAGCTATGCTCACCTGTTCCTTTGTAATATAACCCCTTGCCCTGTTTAGGATAGAATCTTCCATGGAAGTGCCTTGTGTGTGTCCCCTCCTCTTACTGTGCCCTTGGGTGTGGCCTACCCAGGTGTCACTGTCAACCTGCTGACAGTGGACATCATGAAGATAGACTCAGCCCCCTGAAACCTGACCCCTTACTTCATTTGAATAGCTTCTCCTCAATAAAAGGGGTCAGCGTGTGGTCTTGCTCTCTCTCTTCTAGCGGACCCTTAAGGTCAGAGGACCAGTCACAGCCACCCCAAAGTAAAAGGTATCTGCATCTCTTATGAGGTTATTTTGTGCAGCCCAGTCAGCTCAATTTAACTGGAGTGACCCCTGAGGCTTTTAGTTGCTAACCAAAACCTGGCAAATAGTGGAACTTTTTGTTTCTTGAGGCAAAGCTGGGAATCAAAAAAGGGCCTCACATGTGTAGGAAAGTTCTCTACTACTGATGTTGTGGCATTTTTAATTCAGGTATTTCAAGGAAATGGAGAGAATCCCAAGAGTTTATGACATCATTATACCAAATACAGAGACACGGTGACAAGCTTTGGTTGAAGCACTTAGTACTTAGACAGTGAAATCATTACTGGACTTGAACATATACAGATAAATTCACAGGAATCAGAGGGCTTTTTATTTCTATCATGAGAATGGTGACTTCTTTGCAATATATTATGGTAAGAATAAATCTATTAAACATTAAAAAAATGAAAATCCTTGTTTTCATGCTGGTCACATGGTTACAGTTCATTTGCTCTGCTCCCTGCTCTGTGCTTTCTTTGCCTTGAGCAAACACCTCAGCTGGTCATACTTCTTTACCTGGTGGATGAAAAACCTTGCTCCAGTCCTGTAACCCAGTACAACCTGGTTGGCACTGAAATGATTTAGTCAAAAGGTCCTTCCACCCTCCTTCCAAATCAACTGCATCAGGATGGTAGAGAACATGGTTAAGATGTGTGACTTCCAGGAACATTGGACCATTGTCTCAATTTTGGGGCTGTGAATTGAGTTCCTTGATACATAGCAATGCTGTGTAGAACACCATGGTGGTGGAGAGGGCATTATGTAAGCCCACAGATGGTCATTTTGCCAAACATATTGCATATAGGAAGGGGAAATCCAAATATGAACCAACTGTCTATGTTCTCATAAGAAGAAAACACCGATCCTTCTAACACAGTAGATGTCCAGCATAATCCAACTGCTACCAGAGAACTGGTGATAATTAATGTCATTTTGGGATCTCAGGGTTGTCACTGCTGCTAGCAGATTGGACATTGCCACATGGTCCTTGGTGAGTGGAAGTCCTTGTTACTAAGCTCATGCATAACCTTCACCCATGGCACAATGCCCAGATTTTGTACAAACCCACTGGGCAATGGCAAGAATGACTGGAGAAAGAGGCAGGCTGCTATATGCAAAATAATTCACCCTATCCTCTTGATGATTATAATCTTCCATGTGAATTCAGCCATTGCCCCAGATTCCCTTGTCCAGGAATTACTACAATGTCCCTTCCAAGCCTTTACCTATCCAACTAATCTGTTGGCCACATCTCATGGACTGATATGTATTAGATATATGCTCATCACTCCCTCCAATAAAGAAAACAACCAGTTTCACTGCTTCAAGTTCTACCTACTGGAGATTTCACTTTAGCACTGTCATTCCAGGATGTCCCAAGAAGGGACTGTATGATGGCAGCTGTCCACTTTTGCATGGTACCTGCATATCATGCAGAAACATCTGTAAACCACACAGATTTCACTTATGCTTTCAACTGGTCATCAGGAAATGAGTCTCAAATTAAAGACTGGGACAGGAGGCAGTATAACAGGAATGAAGACTATTGACCTGGGGCCACTTCTACATGTAACTGACTGTAACCTTGAGGGCCTGCTCGGTTTGAGCAAATGCACACCACTAGCATTTGATGATGGAGTGCTAGTGTGCACGCATAACTTTAAGACTTGGTGGTTGAGAGAGCACACAATTCATGCTGGGCAGCTCTGATGGAGAGTACTTATCTGTGGGGGAAGGAGGGCTTTGCTCCAAAGTCATCAGGAGCCTATGCTGCAATTCACCTATGGGAGCTTCCAGAGGCTCCAAATAGCAGCTGTCCATGCTACTTCCACAGCAGCCTACACTGTCAGAGTCTTCCCTTGTTCTAGGCCCCACTCAGAAACAGAGCTTTTCAGGTCACTGCATAAATGGCCCAGAGTAGCACTGCCAAATGAGGAATATGCTGCCTCCAAAATCTAAAGAGGCCCACAGGGCATTGTGCCTACTCATTGATCATAGGAGGGGCCAGATGAAATACTCTCTCCTTCACTTCAGGAGGCACTCTGGACATGTCTCACGGTGTTGGGCTCTCCCAATGTCACTGAGGTAGAAGGCCCCAGGTTTTTATCAGTTGTATTTTCACCTTCTAACATGCAAATCTCTGCTGAAACTTTCAATGTAGTTGTACTTCACATTCACTGGGTTCAATCCGTCGAAATAACATCTTCACTGTAATGGACAAATGGGATGTCTCCAAGGAGAGAAAGGTAATCAAGACCATTAGTATTTAAATTTTGAAACTGGCTGAGGCAGCCTGTTGTTGTGGCTCAGTTGTAACATGCTCACCTAGCACATGCAAGGCCCTGGGTTCTATCCTCAATACCACATAAAAATAAATAGAAAATAAAATAAAGGTATTGTTTAAAAAAAAAGAAACTGGCTGAGGATTTGGTATACCCTGGAGCAAGACATGGTGTGTGTCCTTTTCACCAAGGTGGTGCTGAAAAGAAAGAAGGAAATCCTCCCCTATCATAGCCTAAGCCAAGACACGGACCACCAAGAAGGCTATATGGAAAGGCATGTGTGCACACAATCCAGAAGTTGTGTAATTCCTGTCACCATCACCATGAATGAGGACTCAGGTTCATTCCTCAGCACACAAAAAAAGAAAAAGTAGAGGAAGAATAAGATTAACTTGTCATACCTAACTTATGGGGGGGCCAAAGAACACTGCCTAACACTCAGGAGGCAGCCCCCAAATCCTGAGAAGATTTCACCAGAGAACTTTGTTGGACCATGATGCCATCATCAAACTCTCTCTGACCACTGAGTCTGCCATGAGGAAAACCGAAAAGAATGATAACACACTTGTGCTCATTGTGGATGTCAAGGCCAAAAAGCGTCATACATGTGGGCACACACTAGTAATCCCAGCCACTCGGAAGGCTGAGGAAGCAAGATCACAAATTTGAGAGCAGCCAGGCCTACTTAGACCCTGTCTCAAAATAAAATAAAAAGGGCTGGGACATAGCTCAGCACTAGAGCACTTCCCAAGCATATAAATAGTCCTTGAATTCAGTTCCAACTACTCCAAAATATATGTTTATTTTTAAGTCCCTCCAGGTGGCATTAATCTCTGCCATCCATCCAAAAACAAGAACCACCAACCAACCAACAGCAACAATAACCAATGGGGTGAGGGGCAGAAGGACCAGATTGTACAGCTCTGAAGAAGCTCTATGACATTGACCTAGACAAGGTCAATATCCTGACCAGGCCTGAGGGGGGGGGAAAGTCATATGTTCACCCGGTTCATGAATATGATGCTTTAGATACTACGAATAAAATTAGGATCATCTAAACTGTAGCAACCTGACAATTCTAAATATATGCATATTTTCCACTGTAAAGAAAATTAAAACACTGATCACTTATTTCTGGTCTTCAGAGCTGGTGGACCTCTTGAACAGTAATGGAGGAAAAGACGTTGCGCAGCACATCAGGTACCAGGGTGTGTGTTACTTTGCTCAAACAATAAAACTTCGTCTAATACAGCAGTTACAATTGGAGTCACCACCTGGATAAGTTTACAGCAATCACCATGGTCCTCCACTTTCTGCACAGGCCAAACAGGTGGGATGAATTGGGAAATTTTTAAGTCATTAATCTCTGCCATCCATCCAGGAGTGCAGTATTATTTTCCTAGGAGGAGGTAGTTCTAGTGGCTTCTGCTTGGTCTCCCCATCACAAAGCACCCACAGAAACCACCCTGGAGACCATGCCTGTTGCTGATGTGGCTTTTTCTAATTGGCAACTATGAGAGTACCACAGGGTAGGTTTAGGAACTCTGTGTCAAACATGGAGACAAACATGTCATTTTCACAGACCCTTTCATGCTGTCCCTTCCCAGAAGATAAAGGAAAGCACAGACCAGATATATGTCATATTTAATAGCATTTAAAAATGTGGAGTGTAAACCTATCCAGATAGGAGGTAAGACAGAGTGTCAGAGAGAACTTGAAGGGCCCTCAACAGTCAAGGAACGCCAGTATTTGAGGTTTCTTGGGAGGAGACAGAACAAGGACAACTACAAATAAATCTCACTTGTTAAAATATCATAACTTATTAAATGATATGTTAAAACATAATAAAATATTGAGGCTACCTAGTACAATAGAGCTGTACTGGGCTTTAGTAAGCCCCCCACATATGCTCCCCAGTGCCAACAGTTAGTAAACATGTGTGTCCACATTGCATCGATGATGTAACCAAGGCACCAAGAGGGAAAGTGCTGGTCAGTGCAGGGCTGCACCCTCTGTACTTCCTAAGAAGCCCCAGGAGCTCTCAGCAGAGGCTGACACCCCAGCTGTGTGGATCCAGTGTGGTCACTTGGTGCCCTCTGCTGCTGATCCAGGACTTTTAAGCTCACGAGTTCTGGGGAAGGAGGGAAACGAGTCAGTGTTCAATTGGTCGAAGAATATTGCTCTATGCCATTGGGATCTCTCTGTCTCCTCAGTTCAAATCAGATTTGGCCCTTCTCTGAGGGAAGTAATGCCCTGACTTTTCCTCCCTCCATCCCATTTTCCTGCCCTCTTCAGGCTCCTCTGTATCTCCATCAGCAGCGTCACCTGTCTCTGTTTCCACCACGAAGGGAGTGAAAGGGCTGCAGGATTCCAGGTCAAGACAAGGAAATGAAGCCCAGTGCCTCCTCTTCCAGAGACAGTAGTGGCCTCCCAGACAGGGCAGCTCCTGCTCCCACCACACTTGGCACCAGGCTCACACACAACCTTTCTCCCCCTTAGTTCCCAGGCCTCCTCCCAGCAGAGGCAGGTGCTGACCCAGCAGGGCCTGCCCCACCTGCAGCTCAGCATCCCTCTCTCCCTGAGCCAGAAGCTCCTAACTGGAAAGTCCACCAGGAAGCCCAGGGGCACCAGCACACAGACCCAGCCTGGACAAACACATGTGCCACATGATCTGCTGCTCCCCTGCCTACAACAGCCCATGCAGAGAACACTCAGGATCACTGACCCTCTGCACCTGCCCAGGCGCTCAATCTGCACTTTTGCTTCCTCCTACTGATGTGATCTTCCTTTTTCCTGAGGCTTCCCTGGACTCAATACCTCCACTCCATCAAGGACTCACATAGGCCACAACCCTAACAGGTCACATGGGTCTTCTTCCCAAAGCAGATTAGGAGATTTCCTGAGATCCAGCAGTGTGGATTGTTGGCCCACCTTCTGCACCCTGGGATTGCCATGGCCATACTCCAGGTCTCCCACCCGGGGCTCTCCTATAGAGTGATCTGAAGTGTCACATTTACTGCACATTACCACACGGGCACTGGAGAACTGCTATTCACATCATGGAGCTGAAACTGGGAACATCCTGAGAGTCAACATTTAAAGTAGAAATTTGCACAAATAAACAACAGGCCTTTCCCGCTCTTTTCTTGGGCACAGCCCTAGTGATATTCCAAGCTCACATTTCTGACCAGAGGAAAGTAGAACTAACATTCCCCTTGCTCCCCCTGCTGGAGAGGCCACAGGTGAGAGCAGCAGAGAGTGCACAGTTGCCTGGCCTACTAGTGGAGTCACCTGGAGGGACCCTGCTGTGGGGCAGTCTGCCCTAGCCTGTGGGGACCAACACTCCTAGGGGCCACCTGGGAAAATTCCTGACATCAGAGAAAATGAATAACCACAGCTGCCCCCAAATGGACTGCTCTCTTTCTCCAGATGGTCAGGGTCATCAGCTATTTTCCTGTCCATGTCATCTGCAAGGCCACTAGGAGGAAGAGCTGTATGGTGGGAACTAGGAGGCCTGAGTGACCCAGAGGACATATTGAGGAGGCAGCTCCTGACAGGGGGCAGAGGTGCTGCCCACAGAACAAAGGAGGCGCCAGTGCTGCAGAGCCATGGGCCTGCTGTATACGGGCCTCCCAGGGCCTGCACTGGTGGGACTCTGGCAATGTCAATCTTTTTCTTGTTTGCTGGTGACACCTGGAGAGGCTGGCAGAGAGCAAGGCAGACAGGAATGGACCAGAGATCACCTCTCATGGGATTCTTCTTCTATTTCTAAGCACCCAAAGATCATAACTCATTTATTCTGTGTCCCCTGGAGGCCATGATAATCTAGCCCACACCAATCAGCCCACCATTCCCAACACAGCCCCATGGACAAGCCAGCAGGGCCTGAGAGAGAGACAAGGACAGAGCAGGAGCCATGGCACCACAGCTGCTCACTCCTCACCCTGCAGCCAGAAGAGGCTACCACTGGACGGTGAAGGAGTTGACAGCCCTGGCTTTGGGTAGCACTAAGGGGTGTAGCTGGAGGCTTGGCTTCCATCCCTTCACAGATACACAGACCTCCATCCCCTCTTCCAAAGGCTGCTCAACTCCACGGCTCTCTGAGCAGCAGGAGGCATGAGGGGCCCTACATCCCAGACAGGCCCTATCATGTTCAGCCACTGAATTGTTTTCTCACCTGAACCCTCTGCAGCTGATGTCCTCCTCTTCTTGCAGGAAGGAATACAAGAAAATAATCCCAGCAGTAACAGTGGATACCACCACAAAGGTGGCCATTGGCTCTCCAGCAGCAGTGCAGTCCCTGAAAGCAGGCTTGTTACACTCTGGGTACCACAGTCTCAAGGCTTCTCCCCTCTCACCACCCAGGGTCACTGACTCATCTGGTTGGAAACTCCGGCAGGAATGCCCAGGCTCACCACAGGACACAAGGCCAGTGCTGTTGTTCCCTCTGTATCCCACATAGCAGCAGAACCTCTGCTCTTGTCCTTGGGGAATCCTAATGGACACCCAGGTCTGGTAGGTCCCATTCACATAGGGAAAAACACCCCAAGACTGCTGGGTGCCCTGGCTCCATGGTTCCCCATCCTGAAGCCAGGTCACAGAGATATTCTGGGGATAGAAGCCAAAAGCCCAACATGTCATGTTGATGGTGTCCTCCAGCGCCTCGCCACAGGTCACATTTACTGCTGGGGACACTAGAGAAGAAAGGGCAAAGTTAGTCAGGCATGTGACCAAAGTCGCTCCCCTCTAAGGGATGGAACAGGGCTGACCTTCTCCACTCTTCTGACTATTGTCAAAGCCCTCATTGAGCCCAGATCCTGAAAGTCTGTTCTCAGCCTGGGGCCTGAGTCCTCTCAGGAGCATGGGCCTCTGGCTTGTGGCCTCACATTCTCACTTCCACATATTGAAGTTGAGGAGAGGCTGTTTCAGGGACTCCTGGTTTTTGAGGCCCAGAAGGGCATTTTGGGGAGGTCCAGGGTTGTGGAGCCAGGTTGGAGCTCTCTATATTAGCAAGCTGGCAGGCACTTAGGCAGGGGGGGCTCACTAGTGTCTGGGCACATAAACCTCTTGTCTCTGTCTAGTGGTGTAACAGGACAGGAAAACCACAACAGACACACACAAAAGCTCACACAAGTTCCCCTGGGCAGAGGCTCCAGAGGAGAGGGAGGAACCCTTCCAAGAGATTTGCTATCCCCTGAGTCTTCCACAAAGCTCTCCCTGCACGTGGGCCTGGTAATCCTTGCTTTGAATGCCATCTGCATCCCAGGAATTCTTGACTTCCATTGGCAAGGTCTGAGCTGATGATGGTTCTACTTTCCAGCTGCGTGTCTCTGGGTGGTAGGAGAGGAAGGGCTCCCCATCATAGTGGAAATTCCAGAAGCCCCTGGTGCGGTTGTCCTCTTCAATCTTGCAGCCCCAAGTCTCCTGGAGGGAATGAGACCCTGCCCCCACCCACCAGTCACTTCTCCATCCCCTGGCCCTTATGCCTCCCTACCCACCAAGTAGAAGCTCCAGCCCACAGAAGACCCCCAAAGTAATTCTCCTCAATATCCAATGTGCTGAGCTGCATGGAGCCCATTTCTTGCCCTCCCCAGTCAACTGCAGTGAAAAGAGACAGGACCCTGCTCTTTGCCACCAGTCTCCCAGGAGAAAGCTCATGTCACTCTTGCTCCCACCCACACTCACCTCCTTTCTTCTCCTGCTGGGCATTGATTTCTGCCAGGGTTGCTTTTAGATTCTTGCTGTGCTCTATCAACTCCTGGATCTCTGTGTCCCAGCTCTCAGTTCCCAAAGGTTTTTCTGCCCATAGCTCCTGGGGCTTTGCACTTTCTTTTTCGTGACTATCATAATGAAGGAAGAACTGATGGTCCCAGTAACAATCAGCAAAAAACCTTGATTGCACTGATCCACCTCGGGACCTCACTGTGAGCTTATAGTGAAGACTGTGGGTCCCTGTGGAAGAGGAAACAGCTGATGACCCTTCCACCTGTGAACAAGTGCTCACCAATGCTCACCACAAAGGCTCTGCTGTCCTGAGCACCTGAGGAGGCAGCAAACACACAGACAAAGGGACAGAAGAAAGATTTCCAATGCAATGGAGACAGGAAAGTAGAGAGGAAGGAGAGGGGAAGTAAGGAACAAAGAAAGGGGAAATGGAGAGGGGCAGGCATGTAAGCCAGGGCCCGAGACAGGGCCACAGACTTGTTTAGGGGATAGGGAGTGTTTGAAATGAGAGGATGGAGCCAGGTGCTGTGGCACATAACTGTAACTCCAGCAGCTTGGGAGGCTGAGGCAGGAGGATCGAAAGTTAAAAACCAGCCTCAGCAAAAGTGAGGCACTAAGCAACACAATGAAATCCTGTCTCTAATAAAAACACAAAAAAAAGTCTGAGGACATGGCTCAGTGGTGGAATGCCCCTGAGTTCAATCCCTGGTAGAAGAAAAAGAAAGAAAGAAGAAAGAAAGAAAGAAAGAAAGAGAGAGAGAGA